GGGGGTCCGGCGTGGCCTCGGCGCTGCTGGCGGCAGCCGGTGCAAACCCCCTTGCACCCCTCAGCTCCCCTTTCCCGGTGGATGGAGCCTGGCACCGACAGGGGCTTTTTCCACCCTATGAAAATGAATATATTTTATCAGCTTTTTGGGATGCGTTGCAATCCGGTTGATTTTGGTGACCATCAACAGTTGCCGGTGTGAGCGAAGGGAGCCGCCCTGTGCCGAATTTGCACGTTCTGAGGGTTCGGTGGCGGCGCGGTGGGACAACCCAGAAATAACATCTCCTCTGGGGTGGAAGAGCGCATCCGTGACTCACTTCCAGAAGAAGAAATGTTTTCTTTTCCCAAAATTTCCCCTCCCCAGCCACCCTGTGACCTGCAGGGCTCCCTGCTGCTGGAGTGGGGCCGGCGCTGCTTCCTCCACCAGCTGCCACCTCCTCCTCCTCCTCCTCGGGGCGTCCCCCGGCAGAGGTGGTGGTTGGGCTGGGTTCGGTGGGGCCGGGGCGGGCAGGGCTGTGCCCAGGGCAGCCCTGGAGGGGTGGAAGAGCCGGGAGAACGTCCTTTTCTCTCCACACCTGCTTGACTGAAGTAGTTTGTCCGTCTGGCTAGCCAGACAGGCTGTTAGCCATCTACCTGTCCATCCATCCATCCACCCATACATCCCTCCACCTGTCCACCTATCCACCCACCTGTCCGTCAATCCATCCATCCAATGAACCAACCATCCATCCATCCATCCATCCACATCCATCCATCCATCCATCCATCCATCCACCTGCCCGCCCACCCATCCATCCATCTGTCCATCCATCCGCCCACCTCTTCATCCATCCATCTGTCCATCCGTCCATCAATCCGTCCATCCACCTGTCCATCCACCCATGCCTCCATCCCTCCCTCCCTGACCCCGTGGGCCCTCCAAGCGTGTACGATGCCATGGCAGGACCCCTGGGCGCCCTGCCCGGGCGAGCAGGACCGCGCGGGCAGAGCGCACCCACCCTCAGATCCCCACAGCCGCAGGTAGCCCTGGCACCGTCACCTCCCAGGGCTCCGCGCGAGGTCCTTGCCGGGCCGGGCAGGGAGGAGGCCACCGTGGCGGCCGCCCCGCCGGAGGAAAGCGGGTGGCGGAGGACTGTGCAATACCCAGCGGGGACAAAAATAGCGCCGGTGACCGCATGGGCCGGCTGCAATTTCTTCATCGCTTCGGCACGCGTCACCAGCGTCTCATGACTCGGGGACAAGAGAGCGAGACAGGAAAGAAAGCGCCCCGGGAGGTTGCAGGAACCCGACGGCTTGCAAACGTCTGGGAGCTGACGCAGGGAAGACACGGCCAGGACCCGGGCACGCTCCCACTTGGTGCATGGGAGAGTGGGGGATGGTTTTTGGGGACAGGACGGAAGCAGAGTTCTGTTCGCCCACCGGCCCGAGCCCCGCCGAGCTGCCCACCCCGGGGGAAAAGACCCCAAAGAGGTTTCTGCCGTGCTCGCGCTCCCGCCGCGCCTCGCTCGTTGACCAGGCGCAGCCCCCGGGGGCACCCAGGGGCTGGGGGGCCCACCCGCCCGGCCGCTGCCACACAGCCCCGGCCCCCAAGGGGGGGTCACAGGAAACCCCAGGCACCCCAGGAGGGGACAGCCCCGACCCCGCGCACCCCACGCCGCCAGCAACGGGAAAGGACGCGGGGACACGGTGACGGTGGGGCAGGGGCATCCTCGGGCCCACGGTCAAGTTCGGCCCTTCGTGCCTCAGTTTTCTGCAGGCTGTGGGAGCTGGCCCAGCATGGGGCAGGGGGAGGGCAGAAATGGGGGAGTGGGGCCCGTGCCTCAGTTTCCCCAGGGCCGGTGACTTGCTGGGGGCTGCGGCCTTTGCCCCTTTTTTCACCCAAAATATAGTGCCACCACCCCGGGGACGGGCTTTGGGCCACCTCCCCCCACCCCAGGGCCACGTGGAAATAAAAATAATAGGACTTTTATTGACTTATTAAAAACTGTGAAAATACAGCTTGGGAGGAGTTGGGGGGTCACCGTCATCCCCCCACGATACACGATGGCCCAGGCAGGGGAGTGGGGCCACCCCAGAGCGGACACAGGGTTGGGGCTGAACCGCAGCTCCCCCATCTCTCCCCCATCTCTGCCTTGGAGATTTTTGGGGTGCCGGGTGGGAACCCCAGCTCTGGGGATGCTTTCACCCCCCCTGGGGCTGGTGCAGGGGTGTCCCAGAGCATCACAGCCGCCCCCCGCGCCCCTGCCACCCAAGGGGACAACCCGTGGGGACACACACGGGGCGTGGGGACACGTTCCTCCAGCCCCAGGCTGTCACCTCCAGCACCGCGGTGGCACATCACCGCTCGCTGGCATGTCCCCCCTACGTCCCCCCACCAGCAGGTCCCCAGGGACACCTGGCCCTCCTCCTGAGCCCCCCAACCTGGGGGCAGAGGATGGCATGGTGCTGCCCGCGGGGTGGCACGGTGGGGACTGCTCCCCCCCTCCCACAGGACACTGTCCCACTGCTACAAGGCCACCGGGTCCCCAAAGCCACCATGTCCCCATGTCCCCAGCAGGCAGGGAGCGATGCTGCACCCGGCTCTGCCCCGCACCAGGGGGAGCCTTAAAATTAAAAAATAACGA